AACAGGACACTCAGGCTGACTCCTTGAAAGACAGCTGCACTTTAAAGCTTTCAGCCCACAAGCCAAGGGCAGGGAGCTCAAAGACCACCGTGAGCATCCTGGCTCTCTTCTCTTCATGGGTGTCTTCATTTGGGGAGATCTGCTCTGAATGCCCTATTTACTTTTATCATCACCTTTGATGGCCAGAAGTGTAAGCCTGACTGTCCTCAACTAACCTCGAGGTCCACTGAAGTAAAAGGGCTAGGGCCATGCTGGGCAGTAAAGGTACCCGCATCACCTGGTCCTCAGGCAAAGAGAGAAGACAAAGCAGTAAGTGGAGGTGAGAAGTAAGGATGAAGAATGAGAAGGATGAACACACAGAGAGACTTGAAGTTAATGGGAGTACAGAGTGTGTGTGTGTGTGTGTGTGTGTGTGTGAGAAAGAGTAAATTGAAATGAATGAATTTAACCTCCTTAACCTTTTCCTTTCTCAGACCACAGACCTGGATTAGAGTTCTTAGCAACACACCTGGTCATTCTCTTTCCTTCTACACTCTGCCATCATGCAGAAGCAGTAGAGGAAGAAATGCAGTGAGTCTAAATCTTTTGCCCTAACCTCTGTTTCTCTAAGCATCTTCTTGGATATTAAAGATCCTGGGAGACACCCTACCAAAAACATCTCAGTACTTGTAAAATCAAAGAAAATCCGAAAAGGAAGGATCCCCACAGCTCATTGGTCCAGTGACAGATAAGGGACCTGAGATCAGAGAGAGGACGACTTTGTCTGGTCCTTCAGCAAGAGGACCAAGCATCTGAGACCAGCTCTCCAGCCTCCCGACTTTCAGTTCAACACTCTGCCCCCACCCCACACTCCTTCTGCTTGTGCATCCATTCTGTGACTAACCAGGGAGGAGGGGAGCTGAAACAAGCTCCCACCGAAATAGGCTGCTGCCTGTGCGTGATTATGTTGCTATGAGAACCTCAGTGGGTGTGTTTCCTCCGTTCTCTGTTGAAATCTTTTGCTTGGCTTGGCTTCTCCCCAAGCACAGACACAGCTCCCCTTGGAATGGGGAGTGGAGAGGCTGAGATGGACAGCTGTATTTTCATGGTGAGATTTTTATGGGTACTTGAGTAAGGATCCCAGGCCAGGAGAGTGGTTCCACAGTGCCTCCAAGGAGATGTGAATGAACTCTCTCAGGAATGGATCCTCCAGCCCCCCTGCTGAGCAACCTTGGAACACTGCGTGCAGCCATCTCATTACAAATTCACAAGCCAAATCATGATTACTTTAAGAGACTGAGTCTGTGGTGATTTGTTATACAACAAGAGATTACCTGAAACACCTACCTCCTAGAGCTGTGAAAATCCATGATGCATGAAAAAATGCCTGGCACATAGTAGGAATTTTATGGAGCGTTTTCTCACCATCCCTACCATTTATATGATCCCAGTCTTTCTTCATCTCTTTTGCATCAATAGCTATCATATTCTTTTATTACTTTAATTAGTGGAATCATTCCACACAGAACTAACTTAACTCAGTATCTCATATACCTAGCTCAGGAATGGACCCTAGGCTTGACACAAGGTAACAAAAGACAGGAACTATTAATGAGTTCTTAATTTAGTTACCTCAACTGCTTTGAAAAATACAGAACTTTTGAAGAGATTTTGATAAGAAAACCTATGAGATGATAAAGGGGTACAGAGAGTTCACCAGGGTGTGAGAGTTAAATGGATATTGTGGAACAATAAAACCAGATAAAGCAGTTCTGGAGGTACATTTTGCTTATGGCATTTTTCATACAGTAGCCCTTCAATAAAGCAAAATGCTTAGAACAACACTCATCTAATGGTAAGAGCACAAATATTTTGTTAACATCCACTAAGCTTTGTCTTGGCTCATAAGTTAAACTTTGAAGAGTATTTACTACATGCCATGGACTCTTCCAGATTTATCTGGGTTTTTCTGTAGTCCTTTCAACAACTTTTTCAGATACTATCATTATTCCCATAAAACAGATATGAGAGAGAGAGAGAGAGAGAGAGAGAGAGAGAGAGAGAGAGAGAGGAAGAGAAGAGAAGAGAAGAGAAGAGAAGAGAAGAGAAGAGAAGAGAAGAGAGAATGAATTGCCCATCAGAATCCACATCCAGGGTGCCTGTTTCCCATAGCCCCATAGCATGACTCCCAAGAAGTTAACCAAGTTCAGAGGACAAGACAGTTGTTCTCAACCTTGGCTGCATAGCGGAATCCTCTAGGGAGCTTTAAGGGGAAAAAAATGCTTTGGTGCCTCCCCCGTGACTAATTTAGTGAGGTCTGTATATCAAGGCTTTTTAAAGACCCTAATTCTAATGAACAGTCCTGGTTGAGGACAAGTGGTTAAGTATATTTGAAGATAAAATGAACTACAGAGGCAGAAGGTCTCTACAGTACAAAAGGTGCTCTCCAAAAACCACAAGAACCCACACACTGTGGAAAGGTCTGTCTCAAATGCAGGTTCCTGAGAGCCATGAAGTAGAGCCACATTGCACTGATGGTTAATCTGGTCTGCAAAGGCTGGAATTAGGTTCTTGGGGAGAACTGGAACTGGAAAAGGTATCCAGCTCTATAAGATGCCATAGTGGAAGTGCTTCCTGTCACTGGAAGGATTCCATTGGACTAGTTATTTGGCAAAGCAAGGCCTCTGGGGTACTACCTGCCCAGGGCTGGATACCCCATATTTCTCTCACCTCTAACTAAGCCTGTGCTGGGACCTCTGGAAGATGAAGACTGTAATAGCTCAACTCTAGGGGTCAACCAAACTTCCTTTGTTGTTGTCCCAAATCCAGTAACCCAGAGTCAGGATGCAGACCAGGCTGCCTGGGAAGGCGCAGTCTCTGGGTCCTGTTCCAAAGTGGTTGCTGCTACAAGGGGAGATACATAAGACATGTCATGTGGTTTCCTCCTCCCTCTCCTCACACGTGGCAAGGGCTCACATATGGCCACGGCACACTGCAGCGAATCCATGCCTCCTCAAGAATCAGGCCAGAGCTGTTATCCATCACACCTCATGGCAGCTAACCCAGCAGTGTGCTGAGTTTCTTCCAGGCCAGATGGGAGCCTCGCCAAGGCTGCAGCAGCCAGCTACCTGGCTAAGCTTTCAGGCAGCCCCACACCTGGGTAGTTCTCCTGCACAAAAGCATCTGCAGCCCTATTTCTCCCTAACACAAGGCCCAATGTTTCTTAAACTATATTCCAAAATTCAATTTGCAAGAGTACCACCAGTGCCTGCAAAGAAATTTAAGTTTATTTTTCTTTTTCTCTCTCCTTTTTTTTTTTTTGCCATTAAAACCAGAATGTTATTTCTTCCTTGCTCTGATAATGTCTGATTAAATCAATTCATTGTGGCTTTGTGCTGCATATGACACTATTCAGTTTGTTTATTTAATAATATTTGGAAGGCATTTTGTTAGTTCTGTACCCATAGGGTAATCCTTGGTGTTCTATGCTTCTGAAAAGTCAAATGCTCTAGAGCTACTTACCTTTGGCTCAGGGTGAGAAGGACCCAAAAAAGCATCCATTTTTCTCAATGGCCTATGATTGCACCCAAACATCTTTGGAGAAGGGGGAAGAGGAATACAGTAGCAGATCCTTAAAGGTACTAAAATATTCTAAAATGCTGTCACAACAGAATTCGATTTTCCTACTTGGTGGGGGTTGTACACTCCTATCCTCCTTTTCAAATATTTCATAAAGGTTTGCCTCTTTATGGAAAAATCTCTCTCGAATCAAAGCCAGCTGGAAGTTAGTCAGTCTACCCAGTGCAATATCTCCATACATATTTGTTTCTATGATTCCTTACATAGCTATGACTATGGGCCACGCATGTGCTCAGCAATCTGGACTCAAAAGATAAAAAAGATGCATCTCTTCCCTGGTGACACTTGTCTTCTGGGAAGAGTTGGTCAAATGGCAAACTATCTGTACTGTAATATTATCAAGGGTCTTATTATTGGTTCCTAAAGGTCAAATCAGTGGCTTATGGTCATGTAGGCCCTGCAAGAATTATTTCGTGACATGAACAGGAAACTCTGGAGACTCTAGGGCCTGCACCAGAGCATGGTAAGCTCCCTTCAACTATGGCTTGGGGTGCATTATTTAATCAAAGCACCAAAGTTCTTGGGTGCCTCTGGAACTTTTACACATGAGAAGTTTTGTGGTGGTCTCAACTCTCCAAACGCACAATGTGCTGGTATCACTTGGGTCATAATGCATATCCAGTTTGGGGCAGATCTTTGGTCTTTCAGAGGTAACCTCACCTGAAAATGCACAATAAGCAGAGGTGGCCAAACAAAACAAAGCTGTGATTGATGCCATCTGTTTCCTTTCCAGAGCATTTAACCACCTGGTCTCTTCTCTTCCTCCCAGAGGATTTTGTTTTAAATTTAAACTTTTTTAGTTTTTTTTTAATTTAAAATTAAATTAAAACCCTTTCTGCTGTGTGCAGTGATGCACATAATCCTAGCGGCTCCAGAGGCTGAGGCAGGAGGATCAAAATCTCAAAGCCAGACTCAGCAAAATCGAGCTAGGTGCGGAGCAACTCAGTGAGACCCTGTGTCTAAATAAAATAGACTGGGGATGTGGCGCAGTGGTTGAGGGCCCCTGAGTTCAATCCCCAGTACTACCCCCCAAAAAAAACCCTCTTAACTTTTAAAATAATGTTAACATTTTGCTGTGTGTTCTTTTGCTTTTTGTTCATGCAAATATATATGACAAATTTTACCTCTGTGTGCAGTTGGTATATGTTATGTAGAAATAGAAACATGCTATATACATTACTCAGAAACTTGTTTTCTTCAATAAACAATGCAGTATAAGCCTCCTTCCAGGTAATTACATGTAGATCCAAGTCATTTTTAAAAAGTTATATAATTCCTCACTATATGGATAAACCACACATTTTAAAATCCCTCATTAATGAACTTCAAAGTTGTTCGTAGTTTCCTATTTTTTCTGAGTGACACTAAATACTACTAAATAATAAATGTTCTTTTACACATACCTGTGAATGGAGCTTTTATTTCCACTGATAGTTTCCCAAAAGTGGCATCATTTTGATACATATTGTCAATTCCTTACCAAAGTGAGATTTCAGGCCCAGAGCTAGAACACTTGAAAGGCACAAACCTAATCTTCCTTCCTTTTCCTATCCCAATGTCAAGTGCAAAAACATCTGCTGCTTTCAATGTCCTGGAAGATCCACGAAATAAAGGACACAATCCTGTTGAACAGGCATTTTGACACCCATCAGCCTTCAAATGCGAAAACAGAGGTTCTTGAGAGAGACACGGAGATACGGGGTGTACTTTGCCGGAGGTCTTTACAGAGAACAGGTCACTTCCAAATGCTGGATAACAGGGCATGAATTTGGTGATAACAAGAGGTATTGTGATCTGAAAAGCAATAAAGAGGTTTTTTGTTTTTGTTTTTGTTTTTTGTTTTAATTGGCACAAAAAATACTGAGGGCCAAGTGGAAACCCTCAGTTCCTTTGTCTTCTGGAAGGCTGTGCTGAAGGAGAGCCTGGGTGGGTAGCAGCATGTTATCTAATAGAAACCTGCAACCAGGAGACCACACTCTCTGTTCCTAGAAGAGCTTTGTTCATCTCCCTTGAAAATAATACTTTCTGTATTCAGAGTTGCATATCAGAGCTGACCCACCCGTTACCCTCAACTCAAGGAAAACTTATCACTTACAATCTCCCGTGTGAGTCTATCCAAGGGTGGTTCAAAGAGTGAAGGAGGCCAAGAGAGGAAGAAGGTAAGAGGAAGGAGACATTTAGCAGAGCAAGAAAGAGTGTGTGGTCAATCTCTCTATGTGCAAATGGCTTAGAGGTGTTTCACTGGCAGAGGGTTGTAAAGATAAAAGAAGCCATCAAACAGAGGCATCTAGCACAGTTCCTGGGGCATAGTGTCCTAAGGTGCTAAGACAGCTAAATTTCCTTCCCGGAATCTCTTTTATCTAAGCTCACATGAAATTGACACTGGAGGAAGAATATGACATCAGGATGGATCAGGTTAACATCAGATGTGCTAGTTTCAATTCTGTCATTGAAATGCTGGATGGGCTTAGAAAAGTCACCTCACCTCTCTGGGCCCGTATCCCTCCCTCCATCTTGAAAAGAAGGGGTTTGTCTGAGGCAAGACCCTCAACCCTTTTCTGTTTTATCATTTTATACTGGTGTGAATTATGATTCCGACCACACTCTCGTAGCCAAAACAAAGACTCAGAGGACAGAGTTCCTTCCTCCTACTTGGAAGAATAAATGAAAGCACTGTCCCATCCCCTTCAGGTCAGAGGCTTGCAAAAGAGGTCTCCAGGAGATGCTGGTTACAGTGTTCTTGTCTGGTCTTTCCAGAGGTCAAAGGAGTTTTGTTCTGTTTGGCGTGTGTGTGTGTGTGTGTGTGTACGCACGCGCGTGTGCACGTTTTTTAATCCTGTTTGTCTCTAGCAGCCTCAAAGACAGTAGGCAAACAGCCATTAGAGATAGTCATCATTTGATTTCTCCATTTCTCCCCAGAAGCAGATCTCAAGGGGAAACCAATGCATTTTTCCAACAGCTCAGGCTGCTGGGCTGAAAGTCAGCATAATCTCATCAGCTCCAATAATCTGTATCAGTATTTGCACGAATTACACAAATCAGCCAATTATCCAAAAACTCACTTCTCTTTGACTCATGTATCAGCTACATCCATACAAATAGAATTTTTACCTGTCCAGTGATTCGTGACTTCAAAATGTATTCAAATTTGTGTGTTGCTCAGGAGTACATAATGAGGGCCACAGCGATGCCCCCAAGGCCGCCAGCAAGCTGCTGGAGAAGCTGGCCAGGGTGGTGTTCCTTCCAGAAGCAGTTCACCATGCAGCTTAATACACCTGTGGGGAAACAAAAATCAATTATGATCCTCACATAACTCTCAACCAAAAGTATACATAAGGTCAGGGGTTAGGAGTAGCTTGATTTATTCTATGGGAAAAACTACACAATGATTAGGTGACATTTTAAGATCACCCAACAAAAGAGTGGTTTCTGTTTCTTGGATCTACCAGGTTACCACTTAATGTGAGTGCAACTGTGGCTTCCAGAGGCAAGGGCTCCCCTCTTCTGGGATGGTAGTACTACAGGCAAATCTAGAAGCTGTCTCCTAGGAGGCCAGGGTTCCTCCCATCCAGGGCCTCACTGGAGGCAGAGGGATCCTGGTGGCATCAGAATAATGACTGCACACAAAGAACCCCCTACAAACCAGACACTGTGCTAAATGTCCCACGCACTACCCCCACTGAGTCCTCACACCAGCCTCAGAGGTTGGTGGCATTCTTATTCCCATTTTATAAATTAGGAACATTGGCTCAGAAAGACTCAAGAATTTGGATTCAAGAACCAGGTCACACTCATGTTTTCCTAATGCCACCAAGTGGACAGGAACCAGGCAGACCTAGTTTTACATCTGAACTCTGACATTTAACCAATTTTTGTGACCTTGAGCACATCATTTATTTTCCCTGAGCCCTCAAATGCCCATCTGCAATAAGAGGTAGGCCTGGTTAAACGGCCATTTCAGGTTGTTGTAAAGTGCCAAACCCAGAACCCAGCTAGTTGATAGACTCCAGTAAATGAGAGCTATGACACGAGGCATTGTTGCTGGAAGTGATGGACTTAACTCAGCAGAATTGCGCCTGCTGTTAAGACTCTCAGGCACAGAAAAAGTTCACCCCACCCCCAGAGGCCAGAGTGTCTGTCAACCTGGCAATGGATCTAGACAAGCAGCTTCACCTAAGTGGCACCTATCAACCTGTATTCTTGCTGCAGTTCTGCCTGTCACATCTGCTTTAGTGACTTCTCTCAGTGGCATAACTTTGGGTTGCATAATGTATATGCAGGTATGAAAGACATTGCTTTTTTTTTTTTAATCTTCTGGAAAATTCAGCTTATACAGGCCCAAATCTGCCATCCAACCACATCAGGAATTGGTTAATGCATCCTGAGCAAATATTGGATTAATCACAGGAAGGAAGGAAGGAAGGAAGGAAGGAAAAATGGAAGGAAGGAAGGATGGATAGATCCAGCACTTTTACAAGTGGATAGTGGAGGAAGAAGGGGGATAATAACATCAGGACAACCCTGTATGAATACCCTCTTTTCCAGCCTGCAAAGATGATCTTTTCTTTTTTCCTCCCTCTATCCATTTCTCTCTCTCTCTCTCTCTCTCTCTCTCTCTCCTCCTTCTCCTCCTCTTCCTCCTTCTCTTCCTCCTTCTTCTTCTGACTAATCTATTGTCATCCTTTGCAGGACAGTCTATGCTACATTGAGATCAACCAAATATCATTAGCTTTTCTTCCTGGCCCAGAAACCAGGCCCTAGAAAGTTCAAGTCACGCTTTCTGCCTGGAAGGCTCTGCAGAGTGAGTCTTGCCCTCTTCCTTCTGACCCCTCTTATTTTGAGTCAGTGAAGAGGAAGAGTGGGATACTCCCTTCTCCTGGTTGGATATTGGAGTCCCTGAAACCACTCTTGTCACTGCTTTTTCCCAGATGGAGTTTGGAAGAAACTTTCCAGTCCTGTAGACTCGGAACCTAAATTTCAGTGAGTAAGAAGCAAAAGAGATTGGGCCATGAGCTATGTGGACCGTTTCTGTCTGTCAGCATCTCAGGCAGGGACTGAATGATCTGAGGTTCCTCTTCTTGACCCATGTTTGTGACAGACAATCCTTTACCTTCCCTACCCATGTAAAGACCCTCCCAAGGGTTTCTAGAAGACCTTTCGGACCACAGTATATATATACTCACATTATGTCATACTCTTTGTCTTTGGCTCGCCTTAGTAATATCCAATAAACTTGAGGTTGCCTTGATGTTGTCCACGTGGATAATGTCCCTTATTATCACGAAGGACACAGAGGGGTTCTGCCAGGGGTGCTGGATCTTGTGCAGAGGATGGTGAGGTCCTACAAGCCTCTAGCACACTCTCCTGTGTTCAGAGTCCTGTCGAGTCTCTTGGGGAAACAGAATTCTCTTGGGGAAACTGACCCCCAACCCTTCCATTTCTCTGTAAGGGCACAAACCCCAGTGTTGGGCTAGATACAAAGGACCCGCCTTCTTCAGCCATAGACAAAAATTGCCCAGAACAGCCCATTCATGAAAACAAAACTTCACAGGGGACTGTCTCTTCCCGAGTCTCCATGCCTGTTAGCAGAAAACACTGGGCTGGGTGTCCTCTGGTGGCACATGTGCTTGGGCATATATGTCCTTCTGACTGGGAACACTTACTCAGGCCTTGTGAAGGGAATGTCCCATCAATGCCTCTGGGTTATGTTCTGCCTTGTAAATCTAGTCTGGCCTGTAGGGACATTTATTGAATGTCTACAATGGAGAGAGGACCCATGTCACCAAATCGATCCTCTTTTTTCAATGTGTTCCCAGATCTCTGGGTCCTGGCCTGGCTCCTCCTCCATCCCACCATCACCCTGTTGGGTATCAGCTGTCTTGGAGAAAAGGTCTTCCAGTGTATTAGCCATCAACTCTTGGTGGATCTGTATCTCAGGAGGAAACTCTGGAACAGGCGGTCCAACCTCGCAGTTACAAAAGAATGAATCTCTAATGGTGGAAGGTCAAGCATCAGTTACAGGATCTTGGAGGGTTAAGTTCACCTTGCACTCTTTAAAGTCACGCTACCCTGGTACATAATTAGGCCTATGGGCTTCAGAGGAAGCTTGGAGTTATAGAAAGAAAAAAGAAATCACTGAACCAAAGTCAAGAGAACGTGAAATTGTAGTCCAGGTTCTCCCATGTCACCAAAAGTCCAAGGATGGTGGGAAGTCAAGATAGAGACCCCTGAGAAATTGAGGCAGGGGGTTGGCTAAGGTCTGTTTCTCTCCTAAATGTCCTCTGTTTTCCTGGGTTTCATTTTTTCCTCTGCAACATGAGGTATTTGAGGAAACTGAATTTTTGTGGGTCACATTCAAATCTTCCATTCTATTATTGTGAACCTTGCAGCTGGCATTCAGAGTCAAGAAACTGACTGTCCTAACTCTTCAAGCAAGCAAGAGAAAGAAGGAAAGAGTATTAGGAAAGCTTGTGCACTGAGGGCTCAGAGTCTTAGGCTTCAAGAGTATCCAACTCTACCTACCTATCTTCAAAGTCAGTTTTCTTTGATGAAAGAAAGAAAGAAAAAAAGACAAGCTTTCAATACCACTTTCTCCCCTTAAAGAACTCAAGTGCTTATGGCAGAAATCATCTGTCTTTGAATATTTCATTCAAGCCAGGTTTGCAGAAAAGTCCTCTCTAGCTGGAGATTTATGGAGAAACATGGCCACTGGGGTTGGTCCATTCTCCATGCAGGTGGGAGAAGCATGCCGGAGGGTCAGGGGATGTATCTGTGGGCTAGTACTTCTCAGGATCTGTTTTGCAAGGTGGCCCTAAACAATGATCTGTTCCTGTCCCAGTCTACCCTTTCACACTCCTCACCCTGCAGGCACTTTACCTTCATTTCAGAAGAAATGCTGTGCTAAGAGGCTTCCCAATGGGCATATAGTGTCTGAAGCATGAATAAAAATGTGAGGGCCAAATCCAACACCAATGTGTAACAAAAATTCTACAGCAGGTTCCAGAACCAAGAGGCTGCCTTATTTATGAGCAAAGATGGAGTGAGGCCATGTATGTGCATTCAGTGGTCTTCCAAGGGTATACAGAGAACCCTCATGATGGTCCTTTCCCTCAATTATAGTGGGTTGCAGGGGAGTAGCATAACCTTTCTTGCCCAACTGCAAGAAATGCAAGAGAGTGTTTCCAAGAGACACTGTAGTAGCTGATTCTCGGGGGATATTTTAAATTTTTATAGCCAAGTCAAGAAGATGGTTATCTGAGGAAACTGCTTTAAATTTGGTCCTGCCTAAAAGCCAGGGGACAGGATATCATGGCTTTGAGGGCCCCCTTCTTGATTACACAGTCAATGATCGTAATCAAAAGACTAAAAAAAATATTAGCTAAGTTCATGGGGCTCCTTGGAACATAATTAGGCATGTCTGGTCTTCTAACCTGGAGAACCAGGGACAAGCCAAGGGACATGTGCCTGACTAGGTAAAAAGAGGACCCACAAAGATCTGTCTCACAAGGACCAGGATGGCTAAGAACTGGAGAAGCTACCAAGGAGGTGCACACTCATGTGGGGAACATTAGCCCCACTTGGTTTTCCCAAACATGAGAGTAGGAAGAAGATAGAAATTTGAGGGGTAAGAATTACTTTAATAACATGAATTTTTAAAAAGCTTCCAAATCCTCCTCTGTGAGGAGCCTGTCTAGGGATCCAGGCAGAACTGACTATACCCTGACTTAGACTCTAACACCCTGAGGCGCCTCCATAAGCCACCTCTCACTCTGATTTCTACCCACAAGGTTTAACAAAGCAGAGCTTTGTCCATGCAGTTCCTCCACGGGCTTCCACAGCCTCCTACAATAACTTCCCAAGATTGTCAGGGCCTCTTCCTGACGGGTATTCCCCCTCCATCCAACAGGGCTGGCACTTTCCCAAGATGCTAGGCCAGTGGGCAGAGTTCCCAGAAGCCCCAGGTCATGCTCCCCTCTGCTCAGCAGGACATATACCTCTTGTTCAGAGCAGTTGAAGTCTGCCATTGTCCAGCTTCCAATTTAAAAAAAAAATCCACAGAGATAAGTTCACTGCAAACCAGAACATCAGCTCTGGGGAGAGGGATAATTGCCCTCAGTCTTATCTCAGAGCCCAATCTTATCTTATGATAAGATAAATTTGAGAATTTAAGGGACAGAAAAATCTAATAGAATAGTGGCAAGCCCAGTCAGGTAGCCATCCCATTTTAAATGCCAAAGGGAAAAGTCAGGACTCACTGTCAACACGCCATGCTCAT